CGGCTGGCGCCGTAGTGGTGGAGGAGGGGGAGGTTTTGTGTTCAAGCGCTGGGCAGGCAGCGCTTGCCTGGGCATCCTCTGCCAGAGCGCGGAGTCTCGAGGGCTTTTAAATAAACAGCTGATCAGCAAACCCTGCACAGCTCCATTAGCTGCTGCCTGCCCCAGCAGCTCGCGTCTCCAGATCCAATTTTCGGGGCACTCTTGTTTGATAATGAGACTGACAAGCTGGTTAGGGGGAACGTGATTGAAACTAGTAATTGGCACTTAGCTAATAGCAATGGCTGTTTAATCTCTTCCCATCCAGTGTGCCACGGTTAACAAGGCGATTAAGTGTAGCCGCACCGGTTCTCGCGGCTCTGCAGGCGGCGAGGTTTGGCGTCAGAGCGTTCCCGGTCTCGGTGGACGCCGTGGGCCGCCTCTCTCGCCGGCTGAGCCTGACGTTCGTCGGGCGGGCTGGGGCAACGGGGCACCGGGCAGCGAGGCGTCCTGGGATGCTGCACGCGCCCTTGAACGGGAGAGCCTTCGACGGTCTCCGCTGAGCAAAGGCCTTACGGGGGTTAAGTGGAGACTGAGAGCCGTGCTGCCAGTCTGCTCTGGGCTCTTCTGAGGCTCACAGGGCCACGATCGCCCCGGCCTGAGATTTCCATGTCTAACCGCCCACCTCCTCCCCTAGGTCTCCTTAAACGCCTGGTTCTGGTCCACTGTTTTCCATACAAAGGACACGGCCTTAACGGAGGTGAGCGTCACCCTGCCGAGCCGAGCTGGCGTGTCGGTGGCCGTGGGACTGCCGCGGCGTGTCCTCTGGGTTTGTCGCCCTGTCCCCCCACCTGCCCTGGGGTCTGATTGATCCCGCCCGAGTCTGGAGGGACTTTCTTGCCTCTGGACCTTGCTGGATTTGTCCTGAGAGCTCTTGACCCTCTCATACCCGATTTGTGCTGCCCCTGCTCTCTGCACTTCCAACCCGGCCTCTCGTCTCGCAGAAACTGGATTACTTCTGCGCTTCGGCCGTCGTCCTGCACTCCGTCTACCTGTGCTGTGTCAGGTGAGCCGCCGCACCGGGCTCGTGCCTGTGCTCTGCTCGCCCTCTCCGGCCC